AATTTAATAAAAACTTGAGGGCATATCACCAAATTCCCAAGGCATTTTGGAACCAGAAACCCGAGTCGATAGAAACATCTCCATAAGAAGGATGGGTCCATAACAGTCCAAGCAAAAAGAGTTTGCCTCTGTCTTGTTACCCCATTGCTGGTAAGCGGCGGTAAGATGTGAGTGAGGAGGCGTTAACATCTCAACTTTCGACAGTTGTCAGAGTAAGATAGACAGATTCATCAGTGAATCACAGTATTACCACCTGAGGGAACGCACAGTCAAGTTACAAGGTCAGAGTCGGGTCAGTGCCATCGTGAATATTTAGTATCAAGCAGAAGGTACGGTACGGTACACAGCGCGAGTTGATGCACTTGCATTAGAGAAGCTTCAGCGAATAGCAGTATCCGATAGTTTGAACCGTACAACACGGTTGTGGATGGCTAGTAGTCAACCGAGCTAGTTTGGTGGGCTGAATTACCCTGTGAATCACCCCTGTGATATGCGTTTTGTCCAACTGTGCTCGACAGTAGTTCTAGTGAAGAACACCACTGTGCCTCACCCCCGTAGATAACTAAGCGCTCCGTAAGCCTATTCGCAACAGAATGGTATGCGGCGACATCGGTACTGATATCGCGCACTTCCACAGTCTTATTCACAAGACCGAAGAAACGCAAAAGGTAAGAATGTTTATCTAATCATATTTTTCGAAGTGAAATACAACCAAATGATTTAAATGAGGATCATAAAAGTTGCAAGAACAAATCAATATTGTTCACTGAAAGTGATGATGCAGGTGGACTAAAAAGAACGAAGAAAAATTTGTTGATTAGAGCATGCGAATTATGCCATCGCTTCCTTGTCATCACAGTGGTCTTCTGAATTGGAGGCGAGACGGGAGAATTTGCGTTGCATGTGGAGCAATATGCCGAGTGTGGCCACCATTAATGAAAGTACAGCCAGTGACATTAACAGCCACAAAAACTCCAATTCCAAAGCTAACTGGACAAACCAGGCAGGCCAGTGCTCAAAATGGAGTAGGCGTTGAGCCACATCGGATTTGAGCAACAATTCCGCTATTCGCTCCAGACTTCCATTATGCGGATTGGGACGAATTTGGAGAAGGCCACACATAAGTGTGTAGATGTCGACCGCATTCACTTGAGTAACCACATCATTCCTGCGAAAAGACGGTCCACTGGCAATCAGGAAAGGGCTCATTTCGGAAAATTCGGGACTGTAACCGTGGTTACCGGCTGTGAGATAAACAGAAACGGAAAACATCACCCGTATGGTTAGAAGAATGGGAAGTAAAGGGAGAAATGTACTGATGAATACTATGAAGCCGGGCTTGCAAGAAGGGACCGAATGGTTTCAGTGTACTTTGGGTTAAGGAGTTAGGTTAAACGCTGTGACAAGAGGGTGTTTTCATCTACAAGTTAAAAGGATGTTAATGAAAGACTAAGCTGAACTGAATGAAATAAGTGATGGAAATTCGACCATGGATCCTACTGGATGAGCAACAAAATGGACAAAATCAGTTGTGCGTTGTCCAACAGTTTTCAACACTGTGATTGGAGTTGCTGTTTATGGATCAAATGTCGGAAAAGGATAATCTAGTACGCCTACCCTATCCCATGTTACGTTCACCGCAGGAAAAGTCGAGGGAAGACACAGTAACTGCGCCAAGCTGTATCAGTGTGCATATCACCAGCACTGTGATTCTTATCTCTGCCTACATGATAAATTTCTATTACAAGTGTAATATAGGCGAGATGGCCCAAGTGGTTAGAGCGCGAATTTACTGACCGGAAGGTTCGTGGTTGAAACCCGACCTCCGCCTCTCGATTTCCCCTGTATAGGCTCTCGTGCAACCTTCGGGTGGCATGGCATCTAGGCACCGAAAAGGTGCTACAGCTGAACGACACGAGCAATTATATAACAAGGAGTAGACCCAGTCTAATAAAAAATTATTAGCCTCGGATTCTCGACACGACATGTGCGGAAGTTCATTATGAACGAGGCTCTATCTGCCGGGCAATGTCAAGCCGCGTGAATGTGCATTTCTATTTTTCGAAATGTCCTTCGTAGACCATACTACTAACAAGAAGTCAGTAAAACTACAATTGAGAGGACGGAGTAGGTGATTTGTCGACAAGAAACAGTGAGCTCTATCTGTCATTCCTGGTGCGAAAGTGCTAAGCTGTGATGGTGATGCCTTTTGTAGCTTGACAGATTAGTAGCTAGTCAAATTAGTTATCCGCGTTGTTTATACCTGGGGTTTCATCGATCTACCGAGTTAACAAATACCACGGTTTCTGGAATGCGAATATCCGATCTGTTAACGGACATTCATTGATCGCGGCTAGGTCGTCGGAGCACCTCTGTTCCACTATATCAAACCAATCTGTTCAGCCGTGGAGTTTATTAAAGGAAGCGCTAAAGCTGAAATACTATCGCGTCGCCAAAACGCAAACAGGGGTGATCAACTATATGGTAGCAGATTACAATCAGTAACTTTTTGATAAAAGGTGTTAGCTGACTTCTGAGCTATCCTGGTCGAATGACAGCACAGAAGACTACGATGATTTTTGACGGATACGGGCGAAATTATCACAAAACTGCTAGAATTTCACGTCTGCAGTAAAAGAATGGAATAAATTGCACGACAAAGGGACTCAGAAGGTATTTCGGTGTCCCGGGATCTGGATATAGCAAGCAGATTTACTGGATTTCGATCTCATAGTCCCAAACTGAGGTGGTCATCCCGGTTAGATAAGGCTGTGGAGGTCTCAGATTTCGAAAACTCCGATCGCTGAAATGCCGATCGACGTGGAGTTAAAATGATTCGTTTTGAATGTTCAGCCACTATATAGTCCCATCCACATGTTATCAACTGGAGACTCATAGTCAAAACGTGCTTCGGCACTGCCGGACATGTTCTAACCTGTTTGAACCTTGATTTGAAAGAAAGTATCAAAGTTGGTGGCTGGAGCTGCGAGGATAACTAGTTGCATTTTGCGAGCTCATTGCTTGTTTTCCCGATAAATTCATCCTAGGCTTTTTACACACAGATATGAGGTTCCCATTCGCTAATAGGATCAGTCCAAACGCTTCAAAGGTGGCAACCATTTCTAGCCCATAGGTAACTGGGCCGCAGATACCCTAACCAGGGATACCTGACGGACGAACATACGCAGAGGTTCAAAAACAATCACATCACCTTAAGACCGGCACCAAAATGAAATGACTGTATATAGTCCGACGAGGTGCTAGTTCAGTTTGTCGTGTCGGAGAATTTCGCACTACCGAACCGTGCCAGTTTGTTCGTCCCGAGTAAAGCGTTCACCAATCAGGATGCTGCTAGCTGCTAGGGTATCATTGTCTTTGCCGAATAAAAGATCCAGGACGAGGCAGCAGGCGCGACATTGCTCAGCGGTTAGAGTGCGAATTTGCTGACTGAAAAATTCGTGGTTCGAACCCGACCTCAGCCTCTCGACTTCCCCTGTCTAGGCTTGGGTAACCTGGCAGCATCCCAGCTCACATGCTTCCTCCGGGTGTCATGGAAGCTAGGCACCGAAATGGTGTTACAGTCGGACAGTTGTTTATTGTAGTTTACGTCTGATTCGTTTAATAACAGGTTTTGAATGGGAAAATCGGGAATCCCGGCACTGGGTAATCACTGTCTATCAAGAGGCAGTATTGTGCCGATGTACCTACGGGTTGGCCAAATCGGCTAAGGAATAAAGCGAAGTCATTCTGAGGTAACGAACTGTATGTTGTAATACTCTATGTATCTCTGTAGGACTCTAGAGGATAGCCAGAAAATTATAGGGATTTTCACACTGGCCGACTCTCCCTCAAATCAGAAAAATTGGCTTGTACTTCTGTGGAGTGCATCTGTAAGACACTAAACGAGTGGTGTCGGTGATTTGTTTCTCCTACTACTGTTACTGCTTACCAGTGGATTTTACACCATTAGAACTATCATTTTGATGTAAGGCTTTGACAGGTGGATAAGCGCCTAAAAGAGTGCGGAACAGTTCGGTTGCTTAACCACTGCTTTAATGCCTTAAGCATAATTGACTGGTCTTCGAGTCCCAAAGTCGTTATTTTTGACATTGTTCTGTAGTCCGAGCGGTTAGATTGGGGTAAACCACAGCAGTTTTCTGCTCAGAAAGGAAAACTCTCCCTGGTAGCAACTACACCTGGGGATATCAGTACAAAGGACTAGGCTTGTAGTTTTGTAGTTATCCATAGCGCATTGTGGAGTATGCTCTCACTACTCCACGGAATAGAGATGTACGGAGGTGTGGATTCCAAATAAAGTTTGGAAAAATAGTTGAAAAGCACTTCGCAGTATTCCTAGTGGATCCGCTAGTGGTTACAAGACAAAAATTCAGCCTTGAAAGTTTACCAAGCTTCGTCGGGGTTATGAACCAGCGAAGTCACCAGATGTACGAGAAGCAGATCAGCAACCACTGGTAAAGAGCACGAGCAAAAAGTGCTTGAAGGAAATGCTTTTATACAGACGAACTGAACAAGACTGTCTCAAGTAAGGCTCTCATATCTTTTTCTGAACGACAAATAAACGGTGGAAACATATTCCTTGGATTTTTCGTTCACTTAATCCAATTACGATCACAGCCAGGTGTAATTAGCCGAGCAGAGGAGAGTGTTTGTCTGTGGATCGATAGTCCGAAGTACCAACCGTGCTGTTTATCCAATCAGAATGGTAAGACTGTGACCAAAGGTCGCCAATTAGTTGCCCTTTGATCAAACTGTAATGTTACCCGACTAACTGAAGGTATACTTGTTACTCCGCATACACGACAAAAAGTGAGGTGAATGGTCACCTCAGTAGATGGATAGACTGAAAACAAGCGTCTGGTTCATACCACTCCACTGATTTGATTATGACTTTTTCGGCTAAGCTCTAGAGACTTCCAAACAGCCTTGCCGCAGCTGTAACCACAACTGGAAGCGCAGTCAGCTGATCTGTAGGGCCAGGGCACGTGAACTAGTAATGATGCCGACTAAGGACATGGGTGTCTAAATCTTCCTCGTGATGGACCTCGGAACCACGAACCATCGTTGTACCAGTGAGATAAAGGAAGATTGTTGTGGCGTCTTTTTGGGACACAAGCGCCATGCAACCTGGAGCCAGGGTTCTTGCGAGATGCATGTGCATCAAGTTCTATCGAACGGTACAAGCTCCGGAGCCAGACGAACAGATATATACACTGATCACAATATCAAACTGAAACGGACTGTTTGGGCTACCAACAGCTTAACAGCAGAACAGTAAATATGTGGGACGAACGCTGGAAGATCCTTGAAACCCAGGTGTTCAAACAGCCCCTGTAAAAAACGTTGTCGATTTGGAATATGCAGACAATATCGTCTTCGAGGAAAAGGCACAGGTATTCTTGGATGAACTGACCAGTCATCCCGTCTTTTGGTGTGCACTTTGCAACCACAAGGTGTAAAGTCATGAAAGTGGACGTGCAGTCACAGAACGCGCCAGTTAAAATACAGGTAGAGGTACTCGAAGTTGTGGAGAGTTTTACGTATCTTGGAAGTTGCATTACCTCTGATTGTAGTGTGAATCTCCAAGCCTCCGTTCACATTTGCCAATTTGAGACATCTATGGCGTCAAAGCGGTACATTCCTGAATGTCAAGGAACGTGTGTACCAGACTATAGTGCGGGTTGTTTTTTTGTGTGTGTGGCTGTGAGAATCGGCCTTTTCGAGAAGCAAACTGAGACGCCTTCAGGTGTTCGACAGTCGTCTCAGGACCATAGTTCGTGTTGGTTGGCGTCGGCGAATCCGTAAGGAGGTAGTTGGGAAGAAAGGGTTTGGTTGTACAAAAGTAACTTCTATTGAAGGATGTGTCCACAACCAGAAGCTGCGTTGGTTGAACGATGGCTTCTTATAAGCAGAACAATAGCTTCTTACATTTATACCCTCACAATGCACACAAACGCATAAGCTCTAGCAGTTTTTCGTTCGTTTGCGAAGAAATCAGTTGGAGAAATGTCGTTATGTAAATATGCATAGTTCTGTTTAAGAACTGCACACGGACATGCCACGTCGAACGTTGTGAAGTAGTTTCCAGCACCAATACCGACGGACAACAAACTGGCACCAGTTTGGCATAAGCCGTCCATTAAATCTGGCCTTTAAATGATCCTATAAAGCTTGGTGAGAGCAAATCCATAGGGAGCCGACCTACAAACTGTCCAAATCAGCGCCTTACCAGGGTTTCCACATTGCTTGTTTGTGGATGAATTCGTTCTGTCCTTCCAGTGAACTGACAAAGATTGCTCGCGTAGGTAAATTCAACAAACAACAACTAAATCTGCGTTAACGGGACTGAAGTTACCCGGAAAAACAAGTCCAGTGGATTCGAATTCAAAAGTTCATCTGAAGATAGGGCGAACAGCTCGTTCACAATTTGTGATGGGTCATGTTACCAATTAAAGAGGGCGATGCATACTTGCCAAAGGAAACGTACCTGGAATAGAGTCATTGGTTTGGTGAGTAAGATGCCACAGTGGATCGGGAATAAGAACGATAGGCGGCATTCTGGAATTGCTGTGGTTGAAGCGAAGTGGAGACGGAGTATCTGATAACCAGTAGACGCTCAGATGCGGATGAGCATTAAGCAGTTTCTGGTAGACCAATTGTTCCTTTCCTAAGAAAGCGAGAGGTGGAAAAGACGTTGGTCATCGGACAGTAGAAACTTGAAAAATGGAGGATAATAATGGGCTCCTTTGGATATAGTTATAACACGGTAATTAAACTGGCTTAGTAAGAAATTACGTCCCCACAAGACAAGACAAATCCTTCAGTAGCTTCAAATAAGCGAGGATGCACACCTGAGACAAATCGTAAAGGAACTATCTTAAACGTGCGACCGCGGAGAGAGGAGAGACTTCAAACATATCCAATGAATGCTCCCAGGGTGGCTGTTTTGCAAAACCTGTGAACAACGTTGAAGAAATGATCAGGAGACGCTGACGATTACGCACTAAGAGTAATTGAGACTAGGTTACAATGAAGAAAAGTTCTGAAAATTACCCCTTGCGGTTCACCCTGATCTGGACTCCGTGAGACAAACCAGGGTCGGTCTCCAAGCAGCCCACAATGAATTACAGTGATGAGCGCATAGCCCCCCAGTAAGGAAGCGGCATGATGTGATGCTCAACCCAACAGACTGACAGTCGTGAAAAAAACAACCAGTGTACGTGTAGTTGACAGTTTAACCTGTGGGTCCGACCGCGTTGTGGCCAGTGAATAGAGCGAATCATCCCAAATTTCAAGAAGGCAAACGAAGCCAAAATGGGTAGTGACTGCCAACATGAGGTGAAGCGCGTCGTCTACATTATCTGTTCATCCTATGGTCTCGTATGGTTTTATTAGCGAATCTTACAGGGACTGTTACCCTTCTCTGGAAATTGTCTGTACTGTATTGGTCTAATATACGCGTTCAACAGTATTCATACTTGTAACGCGGCAAGATAGTGCGGACGGAGATTTATTAAAGTCAGTTTGTAGTTGCGGCTTTCAGCACCGCTAGCTAACTATAAGGAGGACAACGGGATCGTATCCATGAAGCTGGAAGCGTCGACAGCACACAAGCAGTTTGTAATCCCCCGATAATAAGGGAGGAAGTGTCGTAGAGTGCTGCGTTCCCGAGATTGAGTTCATTGACTTATTGCACCCATTTGTGCTAGTCAGCCCCTGCATCATAGGTGAGTCTTTCATGGCGTACAAAGGTGGACTAGAGAAGAATGGGAGCCTAGGATCGATGAATATGCTTGATATATGTAAGCAAAGCTGTTGCCAGTGGAGCATAGGCGTTTAAGGCGATAGAGAGGCGTTGTTTTTAAGGTCATACAAGAGTTGTTCTGGAATAGTGAACTAAATAGAAGAGAGCGAGTACTGAGGTTAGATGGGGCACCGTGTTTGGAGATGGGTTGGACACAAGTTTTTGCAAGAAGGCAGGAAAAGAAGAAGAGTGTAGCAAAACTGAGGTTAATGGGGCACCGTGTTTGGAGATGGGTTGGGCACAAGTTTTTGCAAGAAGGCAGGAAAAAAAGAAGAGTGTAGCAAACAAAAGTCCCTGAATGATTGGGGCCAGTTCTCGGGCACAGTTTCTTAGCGGAGCTGTCAGGATGCTATCACAGCCAAGCTGTATGGAGGTGCCAAGATCTGACAGACAGTGAATATCCGTTGAAGGCAATGGAAAGTGAGACGGTGAAAAACGAATAGATGAAGAGTCCATGGGAAATGTTTGCAANACCAGGGTCGGTCTCCAAGCAGCCCACAATGAATTACAGTGATGAGCGCATAGCCCCCCAGTAAGGAAGCGGCATGATGTGATGCTCAACCCAACAGACTGACAGTCGTGAAAAAAACAACCAGTGTACGTGTAGTTGACAGTTTAACCTGTGGGTCCGACCGCGTTGTGGCCAGTGAATAGAGCGAATCATCCCAAATTTCAAGAAGGCAAACGAAGCCAAAATGGGTAGTGACTGCCAACATGAGGTGAAGCGCGTCGTCTACATTATCTGTTCATCCTATGGTCTCGTATGGTTTTATTAGCGAATCTTACAGGGACTGTTACCCTTCTCTGGAAATTGTCTGTACTGTATTGGTCTAATATACGCGTTCAACAGTATTCATACTTGTAACGCGGCAAGATAGTGCGGACGGAGATTTATTAAAGTCAGTTTGTAGTTGCGGCTTTCAGCACCGCTAGCTAACTATAAGGAGGACAACGGGATCGTATCCATGAAGCTGGAAGCGTCGACAGCACACAAGCAGTTTGTAATCCCCCGATAATAAGGGAGGAAGTGTCGTAGAGTGCTGCGTTCCCGAGATTGAGTTCATTGACTTATTGCACCCATTTGTGCTAGTCAGCCCCTGCATCATAGGTGAGTCTTTCATGGCGTACAAAGGTGGACTAGAGAAGAATGGGAGCCTAGGATCGATGAATATGCTTGATATATGTAAGCAAAGCTGTTGCCAGTGGAGCATAGGCGTTTAAGGCGATAGAGAGGCGTTGTTTTTAAGGTCATACAAGAGTTGTTCTGGAATAGTGAACTAAATAGAAGAGAGCGAGTACTGAGGTTAGATGGGGCACCGTGTTTGGAGATGGGTTGGACACAAGTTTTTGCAAGAAGGCAGGAAAAGAAGAAGAGTGTAGCAAACAAAAGTCCTTGAATGATTGGGGCCAGTTCTCGAGCACAGTTTCTTAGCGGAGCTGTCGGGATGCTATCACAGCCAAGCTGTATGGAGGTGCCAAGATCTGACAGACAGTGAATATCCGTTGAAGGCAATGGAAAGTGAGACGGTGAAAAACGAATAGATGAAGAGTCCATGGGAAATGTTTGCAAAGAGAACGAAACTTGGATTGGATTGGGATTGCCATAAGAATCGAAAGTGGGAGCAGAAGAGGTCGGACAAAAGTTACGACTGACTGCTTTGGCCAGAGGGCCGTATGGTCGGCATGGGGTTGGTGCGTGAGCGCTTCTTTGACTCTGCGTATTTCAGTGTTACAGGAGGCAATATGGTCATTGTGTGATGGAGAAGAGAGATAGACACCTCAAATATCGCTTGTACGACGTGTATGCCTAACCACATGAAGACGGGCTTGGCTGAACAGTTCCAAGAATGCTTGTCCATCCGGTGTAAAAAGCTAGGGATAAACCGAATCCTATCAATTCGAAGAACACTCGTGACGAATTCAGCAGACAGTGAGGGATCGTACAAAGAGAAACGCCACTGGCGAACACAATCCCAGTCAGTAATATAGCCAGAAAATGCTGCGAAAAGGGGACGTGGGTTTTACGGATGAGAAAAGAATGGTTAAACAAAGGCAGAGGGGAAGAAGAGGGAACGTATGAACAAACCTAAAGTGTGACCACTGTTTCAGTCAAAGGCTGGCGCGGGAGATGGCAAGGGAAATGGTAAACGAAACGAACCTTACAGAAATTGAATGGGAGGAATGCGACAACCAGTCCGAATTATGAAAGTGAAAGTCACCGAGAACGCAGTTTTTTGCTGTTGGACTGAAAGGCGCACTCACAAGCGACGTCCAAAAGGGGAACAGAGGGGACGCGGGATCGATAAACCAAATTATTTGTTACAACAGAGTAGAGAGGAAATGAGGCAGAAAAAATTTAGGATCGGACATGCGGGGATCACAAGTGGGGAGATATGATATGGGTAGGGATGAACAGGCGGATGCGCAAACTCCACCCTTAAAGTGGAAACAATGAAAAAGCAATCGGTTCACTTCTCGTGCTTGGCGAGGTCATCAAGCCGAAGATGTCCTTCAGCGACGAGAAACCTTGGATGGAGGAAGACAGCATAAACACCACCAGTGAACCAAGTTAATGTTACTAGTCAAACCACGCATATTGCATTGCTTAAGAACTCGTGAGAGAGTAGAGCGACGAGTCACCGTAATTTGCATTTCCATGTTTGTTTGATGTGTAATACAGTGGCCCCAATATGTTGATGAGCCATTTGGTCGGAAATTCCTGCCGATGGTTTGCAGCAAAGCAGCTTTTGAGAAGACCTAGTCTTTCCAGGGTCGTGGGACGATCTCTCTCTGCAGCTCTCTGGATAATAATGTTGAACTTCGTTTACTGATCCTCGACTGCGGGCCCCACCGGTTGCGGATAATTCGTAGGCAGTGTCAGTGGTGCGTCCACAGAAGCTGAGAAAGCCTGTTTGGGTTTTCGATTTTTCAAGGAAGGTCACGTTGAACTGCCGCGAGACGGGTGGTAAGCGACGAGCTGACAGAAGCAGTCTTGGGTAGGCACAAACAAAGGTGGAATTCCAAGAACCATTCTATAGGAGGACCAACAGTCTTCCACAGATGATGCCCTTTTCGACCAGAATGGAATGTAGTTTAGCTGGTGAAGTGCAACAACGTTAGCAGCGATTTCCGCGGGTACTATAAGGTGGTGTAGGCTGTCAATAGTCAGCTGAATTCCAGATCATGAGGCGATCATCATTATCAGGGCAATGTCGTAGGCTGATTTTTAAGGATGTGGCGGCTAGATAGGTCAGTTCGATCCACTCTCCGGTACCAATGAAGTTACTGCGGAGTAGTTGGTTGTTGTTGGTAGCACTAATCTGTACATTCGAGGTCGGTGGAGAGCGCTGATGCATAGAATGTCGGTGAGCTCTTGAAAAGTGTTAGCTATTCCGGATAGCACGAGTTTTCATGCAACTATTTTTCTTGTCTTGATACCCTGAGGCAAACTAGCCTAAGGATGCTTACGTCACATTTACGCCCACTGTGGTAAGGAACTGTTCGGTATTCGTGCCGAGAACTTCCAGCCGATTTGAACTAGAACTGGGTAACTGCACATCAAAATATCAGATTGGGTAGACTAGGCAATCACGTGGGCTGCGGGTTGTGATATGCTGACTTTCAGAGTGCTTGGAAACGTATAAGTTCAGACTGCCTAAAAAGTGCGTTTTTAGTTACTGAGTTGACAGAGGAAATGAGGTTTCAAATCGCAGGGACGCCATATAATTTGAAGCATTGAGATGACTCCCGATAGGTGGCATTCTATAGAGTGACGACAGAAACCAGTTACGGGCAACGTCCCCGGGTTCACCAGAATTTTCGTTCACGGGTGTACCTCGGGCTTTTGCATACGGAGGTGAGATATCCAAGGCGATAGGGAATTCGCTGAAAACGGCCGAGTAGCACTGTCAACATGGCTGTTGGATTCCTCAGCTAATCTGGGATGATTTATGCTCACATTGTTGTAGATTTGGAACCAGGGTTCAGCCACCTACATTCGACGAGCAACTAAGAGACCATCGGCTAGGACATAACAGACATTTTATGAAACCCATTCCGCCATTTTCGTAGACAACACCGCAACAAGGAGGCAGTGAATAGTATTTTCTTAACACGATCCGCAAAGGAGCAGCATTCAGTGGAATGTAACAGGCAACTTTACCCGTTTCCCAAGGTATTGTCCTTCAGCAGACCGTTACTGTCGTCCGGTAGTGAGACCCTGTAATTGGTAAGAGTTCTCCGCTGAATACGAGGACCATCCACGAAAAGGGTGTTTACCGAAGCCTATACCTCATGGTAGAAACTATAGAACAGTCTGGGAGCAACGTTAGAGAATATCGTGCCAACTGAATCGTGAGGCGGCCTGTGTGCAGCACAATCAGTTGTAGAACATCATAAACGAGAGATTCATAGAGTCTCTCGTATAAACCAAATTGATTTGCAAATGAGTGTATTTCTCGAAAACGGTGCAATTTGGGTTCAAATAGAACATAAGGTTGATGGAAACTCGAGGACTGCGCCTACCTGATGAGCCCCAAGAAGGGCGAAACCGGTCGTGGGCCGTCGAAGAGTTTTCAGCAACCTTGTGGGTAGTTTCCTTTATGAACGTTATTTTAGCTTATTTTGAACCCGAGATAGCTCAGTAGCTAAGGCGAGAACTTACTGACCGGAAAATTTGTGGTTCGAACCAAACCTCAGTATTTCAATTACTTCTGTCTACGCCTGGTCAATCCGGGTGTATCTCAGCTCTCGAGTTTCCTTCAGGTGGCATGGCGGCTAGGCACCGAAATGGTGTTACAGCTGAACGGTTATATAAGAACAGCAACACAGCCCAACAGTGGTTCATTAGCAAAACAGCGAGGAAGATTCATGTTGAGTAACGTGGTGATGAGTATAGAAAACAGCGGACACTTACCTTCCACTGGGTAGATGAAACCCATTGTAGATAGCTGAGTGTAAGTGTAATCACTGGGATTCACATACAAGTCTAAGGGAATAACGCGCTCATGTGACATGGCAGACATGCCATGATCTGCAGTCAGAATTATGTCCACCTTGTCACGCAAATGACGCGCTTCCAAGCCGTCCAAAAGCTGGCCCAAAGATTTGTCCAACTCCACAACGACTTCAGCGACTTCCTCACTCTCTGGTCCATACGCATGGCCCGTCTCGTCCGGTTCATCAAAGTAGGCCAATACTAAGTCTAGCCGGTAACGGGGATTGTCCAACCACCACAGCAAATCCTTTACACGCTTCGTATAGGGATAACGTACAGAACCATCGAGCGTAGTGAACTGTGAAACCTGTTGGAATGGTAAATCTCCATTGACGAAGTTGTCCGTCAGTGGCCATAGAAGAGAGCCAGCAAGTCCACCTTTCCGCTGCAATGTGACCCAAATAGGCTCGGGCCATCCATCCAACCAAGGAGCTTCGTTTAGGCTCTTCTGATCACCCATACTAAAAGTTTTGTTGGGAAAGCGTTTGTCATATACATCATTGCCGACCACCCCACTGTCTTGCGGATACAGTCCAGTTACCAGCGTATGGTGGTTAGGCATGGTGATAGTAGGAAACGCGTTTATTGATTTATTCGCACGAACTCCTTCGGCTTCCAGACGAGCGAAATTCGGCAACGAATCGGGACCGAAACGTGATCGCGCCAATTCCAGATAGTCGTGTCGAAACCCATCCATGCTTATCAGTAAGAGCTGATGAGGACGTCCTAATGGCCAAAAGCACCTGCTGCCTGGTGTAGGCCACCAACATTGATCGGTAGTCGGTCTCAGAACATTGAACAACAGTAACAGAGAGAAAACGACCAACATCGCACCAAGCAACGCCGAGAGCAATCCCAAAAGTTTCGATTTGCGCCGGCACTTTAAGGCATAATCTGTGCCGAGTCGGTAATAGGGTTGACATACATCGGACGGTTCCATTGCACGTAGAGATTTACCTGAAGTAAAAAGATGGGACAGTGTTACACGTGGGTTGGAAGAAGTTGCAGTGCACTGGGAAACAAACTAGCGAAACTGTTGGCAAATTGAGGTACTCTATTGTGGCTTTTTTATGAGTTCAACTTCCCAAGAGAATATTTTCCGACAGGGGAAGTCTCAATTGTCCTCGAAAATGCACTCATCACCATCAAAAGAGACTATACACAATGAGATAACCAATTCCATTCCTCTGGGAAACAATTTACTTGCTGGAGACCAGTGCAGAGGCGATAACAATCAGCGACTCTGGGGATGCGTCACTCTCCGCACGTATGTGCTTTTTTCTGTCTGAGCGCGTCCTGACAAAATGAGAGTGTGTATGAACCACAGTTCCATGGGCCCTTGTATATGGCAAGAGGGATCCACAGTAGTAAGCAGGCTGGCGTGCGCCTTTCGCCTACACTGAATGAGAGTGTGTATGAATCACAGTTCCATGGGCCCTTGTATATGGCAAGAGGGATCCACAGTAGTAAGCAGGCTGGCGTGCGCCTTTCGCCTACACTGCTAATGTTAAGTATGGTGCCGATTACGTCCTGCAATCGGAGAGTACTACACTCTGGTTCGTCCTAGAAACACTGCTGGCGAAAGCAGTGTTGCACGAGCACTGAACCCAAATACATGCACAACTTTCACCTCACTAACTACTGATGGACCAATGAAGACTTCGAAAATCGAAGTCAGCTTGCGCTGGAAGGCTGCGAAGCACCTCAACTTCGTTTTGTGAAGCCTGTTTGGCACACGCATAAGAAGAAACCGAGGCGAAATTACCACGCACAAAAAATCGTTCAGCTGTAGCACCCTTCCGGTGCTAGCTGCCATGTCACCCGAAGGTCGCGCGAGGGCCGGGATACTGCCAGCTTGCCCAAGCCTAGACAGGAGAAGTCGAGAGGCCGAGGTCGGGTTCGAACCATGGACCTTCCGGTCAGTAAGTTGCGCTCTAACCATTGAGCTAGCTCCCCCTCGTGGAGCTATCATCAGTGAGTGGTTGGGTGGGTCACACAACGAAATTACCACAGGCAACACCTGGGAAAAAGAACATTTATACAGCTCATCCTCAGAGATACTGAAGGTCCTCGGTCCACGAATGAGGACTGGTATTTTGCAAGAAGTAGCAGCACCCCACTAACATCCCTAAGCTGAAGCGATAAGATCAGCGCAGTTAACAAAGATAGTAATGAAAGAAGATAATCGCTCAGCTATAACACCATTTCGGTGCCTAGCTACCATGCCGTCCGAAGGATGCACGATGGTTCCGACACTGCCAGGTCGCCCTAGCCTAGACAGGGGAAATCGAGAGGCAGAGGTCGGGTTCGAACCATGAACCTTCTGGTCAGTAAATTAGCGCTCCAACCACTGTGCCAACTCGCGCAGTTAACATAGTTTGAGTCAATAACTTCACTATGGGTCAACTTAATTTCCGCCCTGAGATAATCGGCCCCCTGTTGACAGACTCACCAAATTATATACAGCCAGTAGTTAGCAGCCGTGGGGGTTGTGTACTACCGATAGGACATACAAGAAGCGGACAGAACTATGCGTTCTTGGTGATCCAACCAACAGAAAAGCTTATCTGCTCTACAATATAGAGGGAGGGGACTGAAACTAATCACAATGGTGAACGCATTACATGAGTCTCCAGTAGATAAAAACTTGCGCGATGATACACATTTAAAAATTTAATTCATAAGCCTCATTGCTTTCCATGTCTTCCAAGAATAGAAGGCCTATTTCCATGAATAGCTGGTCGTATCGCAGGATAACCATAGTTTCGTATCCCAAGGATCACAGCGATCACAATTTTGCTTGGACATGAAGATGCCCACTCTAGTGATTGGCCCTTTGCACTACAGAGTAAGCGGGAGAGTTGGGAGAACGTAGTGAGAAGTATGAGTCCCCACAAGAAAAACCCCGGAGAAACCGCGTTTTCAACTGGGAAGAGCGGGGCTTTCTCCGGCGACAAATCGAACTGTACGAGAAAAAAGGTATGAATGGTTAGTGAAAGGTTTCGTGGAATTCCAAGCTCAGTGTTCGCAGTTAGCTGGTCCTCAGCGAGGATCAATGATTTGTTACGAAAAACGACTTGACGTTCTTGAGCAACCGGATTGCTTGAATAAACCAACATCTGATCGGAACAGGTCACATCGGTGCAACCGTTAAACAGTGAACAAAATCGGGGACGGAGGAGAGAATGAAGAGAGTTCTTCATTTGGAATACATATATTTAACAAGAGGAGATTCGATAACAGTAGCATGGCTTCTACAAACAGGAAGCTTGTGAACTGTTGCAATCGAGTCGACATGCAGATGGGGTCGGGCAACACCGGTGTTAAAGCTGAACTACAGCCAACGGTGAAGACTACTATCAGCTGTTTCAAACGAACGTCTACACCGTTACTATGGGGTCGGCACCGGTGTTAAAGCTGAACTACAGCCAACGGTGAAGACTACTATCAGCTGTTTCAAACGAACGTCTACACCGTTACTTGATGTAGGATGGCGGTGCGTATCTGAAAAACAGCGACGATCCTCTGCCCAAACAGCCCTATATGGAGAAAGACAACAACACAAATAGTTAGAATTTCGTAGTGCGTTTAGGAATAATAGCACAGTCAGCGTTATAAACCCATATAAGCGTTCGAAGATGAGAAAATAACGCAAAATCGGTAGAAACGTTTTTAAATCTACGTTGTGTTCTTCCCTTGGAACCGTGTGCACACGACACAAAAGCTTTTTGAATAAATGCGAACCGCTAGCTTACCGTAGCACATCGCGCTTCTAAGATTCCGTTGAAACTACTGAGTCGGCGTCTCCATTTGTTGAAAGTGCCTAGGCTATGTTCATGACGGGTGTCTCGATTAAAACCTAAGAATGTTCCGGTAAGACGCGTTGAGCGGAACGTGAGTACAGTGATCCACCCAATAAGGGTCGCCCATGGGACTTGATCAAAGTCGGCCTTGGACCCTTGGTGAATGACACCTGAATAAAGCCTGTGGAAAATATCCCTTTTTATACATTACACAATGTTTTTACATGTATAATGCGTAATAACTAGTACAAAAAAATAATAAAATACAAATCGTTCAGCTGTAGCACCCTTCCGGTGCCTAGCTGCCATGCCACCCGGAGGAAGCACGAGGGCTGGGATACTGCCAGGTTGCCCAAGCCTAGACAGGGGAAGTCGAGTGCCAAATGTCGGGTTCGAACCACGGACCTTCCGGTCGATAAATTCGTGCTCTAACCATTTGGGCTATCTCGCCCCTAGTACACTAGTACACTACTTACTACACCCCATCTGACCTCTCTCTGAAACTTAAAGGGGTTGCCGAAAACCCTCTGACACCCCGTGACCAGTTTCGCCCTGCTGGGGGTTCATTGGGTAAGCTTAGTCACCGAGTTTCCCCTAAACTTATACCCTACCTAACGTTCTATCTGATCCTGTTTGAAATAGGATTCTCACACAACGGGATATGAATATGGGACGCCACTAGAGACCTCAGTGGTTAGAGGGCAAATTTACTGACCGGAAGTCCGTGGTTCGAACCTGACCTCTGCCTCTCGACTTCCTCTGTCTACGCTTAAGCAAACTGGCAGTATCCTAGCCCTCATACTCCCTTCGGAAGGCATGACAGCTTGGCACGGAAAGGGTGTTACAGCTGAACGGCTGTCTTAATATTATCTTATTATCAATACCAAATGAGTTCTCGGAGTCATGACATTTTCCACGACGCTAAAATCAGTCTCCTTAGTTGTCACTCACTGTTTCCCCCCTCATTTGAGCTGTTTGATCAGTCGTCTCCGGATTGGTGCTCACTTAAAGGACATCAACCACAATAAAGTAGATTTCCTGATACACGGGTTTCCGTATATTTGGTCGGCTGTAACATGTCGGTACTCAAACGCACTCCGAATTACCTTCCACCAGTTCCTTATGAATGCCGATGAAATACACGGTTACTGACTGAAACTGGCTGAACCCGCCAGCTCTTTCATGTTCGCACAGAACCATCGTTTTTCTTTAACTTGATAAAGTAACTGTAGTTATTTTCTCATGATGAAGCACAAATAGACGGGATTTACCTGCAATACAGATTCTACGACAAATTTAACTTGGGAGGTGTTTGGCGTCAAAATCATCCACTCTACGTCTATCACAGCGGTTCAAAGGTACAAAAAATGATACGCACAGAAGTACGTTCAGGAGACAAGAGGTTCTGTAGCCCCATTAGTTTTCGACGAAACTGTAACTGCATTGAGATGCGGACAACACTGGTCTATAATTTTTTCGACTAAACCGAACTATTTTGATTTTGGCCGGTCCAGTCAGCACCTGTACTGTTTACCTTTAAATTGTTCACATGTAGCATTCTTTCAATACCTAACTGCCATGCCATCCGAAGGTTGTACGAGCGCTGAGATACTGCCAGGTTGACCAAGCCTAGACAGGAGAAGTCGAGAGGCAGAGGTCGGGCTAGAATCACGGACTTCCGGTCAGTCAATTCGCGCTCTAACCACTTGGGCCATCTCGACCCTCGTTAAAACTTTGATAACCAAGGTATGAGTGATACGGTTAGCGTAACATTTTGATTCACAGACAACCGTCGACTTACAGCACATTCTGCAAGTCCACTCCTATGGAGCGACCGCTGTCAATCGGTCCGGCCAAGTTTTGTTCCGGAAGGCATTTTTACTCGACCGGCACCATCAAGCTGACTTACTAACTCGTGTACACATCAAACAATAAGATATACATTGGTGCACTGTTGGGCAACTTTGTAGGTACATAAGGTGCACTAATTCGGGTTCGACTTTTTTCACAGCCTGACACAAACTCATCAGAGCTAAGCCATCGGGCTTGATTGTGATCAGGTGAATCGCAGAAATGAGAATATACAAACACCTATTTATAATGCGCTGACGACTTCCCATCTCCTGGTGATCAAGCTCGCGTGCCGTCGTTTGCGACCGTCTGCACTATCTTATTGCTTGACCTGGGATACTATGGGCTGATGGTCATCAGACGACTGCACACTTCTCCTGAGAGGATTCGACCCAGTTGACGAAATAACGCGTGACAGACTAGAACAATAACAAGAACTACAGTGCACGCTCAGACACAGCCGATTAGTGTGACCTTGAATTCCAGTGTTAAAAAGTTGAACCACGGTATTCCAGTACAACGAAAAAAAATTATATCGTTGAGTCTACTATATTCTAATACAGTCATCACCTCTAAAACGATGCTGAATAAAAAAGACACATGCAGCGCAAATATGGACCCAGCGATAACTACACCACTTGACTGGGTCCGCCACGTGAGGACAACAGACAGGCCTGGCTACGGAATCATCTTCTAAAGTCCGCTTACTTACGATTAAGTAATGTGTCAAGGTGAAAACTAATGAAAACAATCATCGCGAGAACCGTTGGATGAGTAAACTTACCTCGACAGAAAGAAACTGGTAACAATCCCACCAGTTTTTGAATGGAAGTGCGAGGTCAAGCCTAAAGAGAAGAAGGAAAGTCGATCGGAATTGAGGTGAACAAAACTCCGATTTGGCGCTGATAACCGAAAGTGAATAACGGCACATTGTGTACAAGCGGTCGATTGATCATACCGCTTCTCAGTCAGCGGAAATTCAAAGCCAGGGTTTCCACTCGGAGGACAGTCTTCGGTTTTCTGAGATTTTGGTGAAGCTAGATCAATTTATACATCGCTAAAGCTCTGTTATTATCAGAAAATGTTAACGATTTGTTCAAGAAAGAAGGGACCTTTGAGGCCGAGTGTGTCGCTTCGTCTTGGAAGCAACCACTGGATGAAGCAGTCACAAAGAAAGAAGGACCTTTGAGGCCGAGTGTGTCGCTTCGTCTTGGAAGCAACCACTGGATGAAGCAGTCACATATGTGGACATACTGAACCAAACATGAGACCCACAAGTGACGGGAATTACCGTCTCAAAGTGATGAAACAGACTTTTCAGGACTTCCACCAAAGTAAATCAGTGGGGATGCCAACAGTAACTCTATAGGGATGCAATCGTACAAACCAAATTGACTCCTAACTAGCCATATAAAAAACTATGTATCATGTCAGCGGCATGCGAAACCTAACAAAAATGATTCGCAGGGCTGTGAAATCTATGTAGGTAACTTTTAAGAGTGCACTGCTGGTCGCTTACCAACGTTCGGAAACCGGTCCTATTTCCTCAGCTTTATATCACACCGAAGGGTGTATCCTAAGAGGATACACAACTGGACGTAAAACAAAGGTGGTCATGGGAAGTGGATGATGGCAAAATGGATATCTGCGGCCGGTAAATCCGAATGTGGATGTGAAGCTATAGTGTGTGCGCTTCAGAAGGTGGGTTTTGACTTTGATAAAGGCGCACAATTGAGAGTCTTGTTCAGCTACGCACACAGTGTCGAGACGGAAAGGCACACGTTGAATTCCAGCGCCCACAGCAGAAAACTTGGAACAACGTAGGTCTTGTGAACATTCCAGACCCTTTCAGTAGAGAACCGGGTACGGATAATGTTCAGGAGTTAAGCGTCAGATTCCAACCCAAAGACCCGTGGGTTGATTCTATCCCTGGTGTAGATGGATCCAACGTTGCTTCTTGATTGTTTTTGTTTTGTTTTGATGTAAACTAACAGCAATCCAGCCTTCGTGTATAATCCGGATGAGGGTAGTTTCAGATATATTTCTAATTCTCCAATAACGGGAGCGCCGCACAATCACAATAAATTCATACTCATGATCATGGGTAAAGAACGAACCAGCCTGGTATCCCGCCAAATAGCCCACGTTTTCACTGACACAACAGGAGCGTGATTAGCGTCGGATGCTCACATATCACATTTAGGCGCATAATGCGTCGTGGCAGGCAGCCCACCTGAATAAATATGCTTCTAATGCCGTATCGTAACGTAACATTTGCATGCGTTCATGTGCACACATAGTGACAAAGAGTTGCGCGCTAGTGGTCACAGTCCGGCGGTAGTCTGGCACAAACTAACCACGAATGAATCAAAAGATTACTATAGCGGTAAAACGCAACAAATTCAGTTCAACCGACCTTGCAAGCACAAAACTATGTGCAGTGCACGGCGCCTTATATGAACTTGATCCATGAGCCTATCGACCAGCAAGCGGATCATACCTTCTTTCAACAACTAAACATACAGCACAAACATTCTCTGGAAGTCGAGCTAGTTATGTTGTGATTCGAAACCTGAACTGGAGAGCAGAAAGTTACTGATATTTGTTCGCAATTAGCCTGAAGCACAGGACTGATGTGCGAGCCACATTCTGGAAGTTGGCGTATATTAACAACACTTGTTTAGGCTCTATTTCGCACCATTCCAACGGGTCACCATCTATCCGTCTGTGGCATTTTGAATTGGGCGCAGACAAAAAGAACACAGTCGGGAGCACGCAGCGCGTACTTTTCGGTGGAGCCTTCAAATGAAGCCTTTGCTGTAACCAAGGCAACACCATATCCCAGGTGCTGGCGTATACGAGCAATAAGTGTAACGTTTTGATGGCTAAAAAACTTCAAAGATCTTAGACTTCTCTGCGGGCACAGGGGTCGTACCATAACAGCTCAAAAACATACTGTGGTCTTGGAAACAGAGTGCAATTCTGTCTCAACGCCATGGGTGCACAAATTCATAGTAGTATCGTGAAATCACCACCAGAGCTGATGCACCCACCCCGTTACATGAAACAACACTCAACATTCGATGCGTACCTTTGAACTGCAAGAGCACGCTCAAAGCAGGGCTCTCCTCTGAGTAGTAGCTGAACAACAGGTTAATAGCGATGTGCAAAACAGATGTTGCTATAAATCGGAATTATGCAGATGGTGATAATGATGACATCGATGATGGTATCCACAACGCCTTTCGCACAACAACAAGAAGGCTGACTTGCCGCAGGTGGCATGGAGACGACCTAATAATCAGCCTAATCAGCTCCTAAGGCACATTTTGTTTGTCTTGACTAGAATTGAGTGGGGGGAAAACAGTGACTTGGAAGGGAAGATGAGAGGATAAAATGCTAAACTGTCGATAAAAAAAACTTTCAGCTGTAACACCCTTCCGGTGCCTAGCTGCCATTCTACCCAAAGGAAGCACGCGGGCTGGGATACTGCCAGGTTGCCCAAGCCTAGATGGGAAGTCGAGAGGCAGAGGTCGGGTTCAAACCACGGCCCTTCCGGTCAGTAAATTCGCGATCTAACCATTTGAGCCATCTCGCCCCCACTGTCGATAGTAGGGGTCTCAGGGTTTTCAAGTAGTAGTCCGGAATGCAGTGACTTAGGGACTTTGTCAGATATAGCTCAAAATTGCATTCAGTGGTGAACCCGTTGTTCTTTTTGTTCAAGCTCGACTTATTTCGCTCACGCCTTCTATATTTCACGAATAGAGCACACGTCATTTCCCAGCCGGACTACCTCGCTAAAGTGCGTCTGTGGTTGTGTTATGGACTTATGTCGATTGGGGTCTTCAAAGGACGCCGGATCTGTTCGGATGATGAATTTCGAGACAACGCTCAGATGTGTTCATTTCAATGCTGTTCGAAGGCGTAAACACCCCATTCTTGATCGCTTTCCCCAGGAGCATCGGATCTCTTCACACTGCGTCCCCACATTGCGGTTTCAATTCCGCTCTTTACCTAGGCTTTTTTTCCTCATGACTGCACGGCAGTTAGCTCCAGTATGCATTACTGGTGTAGTCCTGTTGGTGATGACGGCGAGGACATCTTATAAATTAGTGTGCTGTTTTTGTCAAATAATATTCATATCACCATCGTTTGGACAACAGAGAAGGGGATCAGTGGACCTGAGTTTCTTCCTCATTATAGCTCATCAATAGTGCAGCTCGCTGATCACACCAGATGTCTAGAATTCGTCTGAACATCCGTCTATTGTCTCCCATTATGTTTCAACCAACGAGAACTTGTCGACTAAAGACCATGCACATATTCACGGCAGCTGGGGCTGCAGATGCACTTCGAGCTATTCATCCTCAACTGTGTAAGAAAAATGAAAAACTATGAGAAAACTTGCAATTTATGATCTGGAGCTCACCTGGAACCGCTAACAGCCATGACAGTAGACGTCACGGTAAGGGGATGTGTCGCATTCGAGACCATCATCTGAAACGAAAGATTGGTTAAAATCCCTTGGTCAGCAAAAGTCTATACGCTTAAAAATTATTCATCCCAGCCAAAAATTCACATAGACTTGAAAAAAGACGAACTGTATGAAAAACCGTAACAGAAGCATTCATCCAGTATCCACATGCATCCGACCAGCTGACAGAATTCGTACGTGATAAGTACTGACTCACGACATACAGGGATGCATTTTTGGTAACCGGTCAAATTATCCTTAAACCTATACTATAACACTACCTTTGGAGAAGCTTTATTTCCGGGACACTGCGTCCTGGCGACAATTCAATCCAGGGAATAACATTCTCAAGGCACCACATACCCGGACATTTCGTCCCAGACAACACACACGAAACAACTGCGTTCAACGGCTTTTCCATCAACAGCCTTGTTACCACCGCATTTGCTATGGTTATGTGTGTATGTGTGCAGTCTTCAAGTGGACCGAGGCTTGAAGATTGATTTCCAGACGCCCGAGGTTGTTGGCGCAAGCTGTTACACAGATACTGCTGCCGTGAGTGGGGTCTTCAGTTACGACGGATAAGCATACGAGGGTTAATAGTGGGATGGGAGAGATGGAAGAAGTATGCGAAAGGTGTCAGTAAGAGTCTGTTCCGCTTTCCTGCTCCTCTGTTTGCAGGTAAGGCAACCCGACTGATGACATCACACGAGCGTCGATGTGGCATAACAGTGTTGTTGGCTGTAACATGGTTGTGTATGGGCTGGGATACTGCCAGGGCATCCAGGTCTAGACGGAAAGGTGACCAGGGTTCTTGTCCAAAGCCTGTGACTCAAAAGCCTGACCGAAAAGTAGCTAACAGTGCACTACAATTTTTAAAGAGCACAACGCATGTCTTAACCGCCAACTTGGAGGACCAAGATACCGTGTTGGTCAGACCTCCAACCATTGATCAACCTGGTATGAGGGGCTCTGAGTGTCGTACGAACACTTCTCAGTATAGCTCATGGGCCACAGAGGCAAACAAGCCATCACACCATGGTGAGGCCCAGTCTCTTCGTGAGGGAGTTTCCATCAAACGTGCTTTCAACTTGAACTCGCAAATTAAATTGGTGTCTACGGGCGAATCAGCCGGATTCTGGTTGAATTCCTCGTTTATGGCATTCTGATCCCGCCCCCAGAGATGTGTGCATCGGGGGTGCATTATTTCAGTGATCAGCCATGGTAATACTTTCGGCAGAAAGGGGAAACTTCGAACACGATGTCAAGATGGTGCTAAACTTTCGCTCGAATATGCCGGTCGACACGAACTTTCCCTAGTTTACTTCCTGTGTATACCAAAAATTCTCTACTCGCAAGCTTCCTTAAGAGGAATCAACAGCGGGCGCCATATGATCGGTTGTACTAGGAAATAGACTTTACGAGGAGAGTCTTAGGAACTGAATCTTCCGCCAGTTGAACTTTCTCATCTACTGAAATATCGGCAAAGAAAAAGATATCCTCAATATCTTACGACGTGATCAAAAACATCAATAACAACACCGTATCCAACAATCTGGTATACGATGGGCAAGCAACGTACAACAGCACTTACCGCAGCAACCATTGGTGTGTACTGTTTAAGATTTGGGTCAACACGTTCGGTAAAAACGTATTCATTCAGAACGTATACGAAACAACTGATCATCCAAACAGTGACAAGCTCACCAAGCAGGCGTGGAATGAGTCCACTACACGATCAAGCAATGAGAGAATTCCAACCTACTTAAACAAACTCAGGATCCCTTCATCTCTGATCATTCGTGGAATAGCCAGAAGAAAATTGCTAGATACAAAACAGCCAATTATTTGTTGGAAACACTTGGAAGAGAAGATAAACCCACCCATAAGACTCGGTACAACCAGAAAATTCCGCCATTTGTCGTATCATAATTACTTAGAGGAAAGTTGAGTTTACAACTGGGACAAGAAAGTGAAAGTTTACCTTGGAACGGATAGCTTACAGCAACGCCAGCTAAACGAGCAGCAGCCAGTTTAGATGTCTGAAAATAAGAGTGGTTATTGCATGTGCGCGTATACCGTCCTCACCTCTTGTACAAATACTTTGAGTCCTCTATTGGTCACATAAAAAGATTTTTTGAACACGGATTCTGTCAGGCACTAATAAGGTTGAAGGAGGAGGAAAAGTCAACTTTGAAGTGTAGGCTTGCCTCGATAAGCTTCTCTGTCGTGTACGACTTCACATATGAGCCAAGCACGCTGGCGGGTAGTCCAGTTGTGAACAGTCCAATAATGCCAACTTCTTCGCGCAGTCGTCTAACTATGTATGAACATCACGCAAAACTGTGCCAAATGGAATTACGATAGACGAAAACATTGGGAAATACGTATCGCCTATAGTTCTTATCGATCAAAGTGTACAAGACTGGACGCAATTTGGGTGGATCGGGCTCATAACCCAACTAAAAGAAGATGCGATGTGAACCGAAGTAGATTTACCATCATCATGGTTCGTGCATACACCAGCGGGTGCAACAACATTGAAGTACACGTGGGGATGGCATAATCGTACGTGAATTGCAGGCTCGTACCCATATGGCAACGGAATGAATCTGAAACAAACAGAACAAACGGGAAGGAAACACACAAACACCGCAAAACAAAGGGGAGCAGGGACAAGAGCGAACTCACTTTGTATATTCTTACAGTATGTACCCAAGGCGGTGGGCTTAACACATTTCAACCAATCCTCTTTAGGCCCCCACGTTCCGCATAGACATTTCTTAGTAGGTTAACTGACAGTGATTTGTCCTGCAACGACGACCATAAAACTCACAACTTAATCCACAAGGAGCTTTCCCTGTTGGGAATTCGGGGGCATGGCCAAGAGCATTTGCGGACATGAAAAATTCTGGGATTTTGTGCTCGTGATCCGTGAAGGTAACCCAAAATGTTGATGCGGGTAAACTTGCCTACCTAACAACGAGCTACCGCTTGATTACGGCGGTGAGATTTTAGTATTGCAATTATTCACTGGTGAGGATTTCGGTCCCCAAGTTTTAGCCATACCAAGAAAGGTACGGGATAGTGGTCATATAAGTCATACTGTAAATAATCGCACCAAGGGAATGTGTGGAGGTAATTCATCCTCACTCTGTGGCAGTAAAGTAGAAGAAACAACGCGGTTCATGTGAGCTCCAAGTTTAATACCAGGTCTAAAACACCTGTACGTATGTAAGGTGTATACAGCGACGCCTTCCGAACGCGTTATTGGCAACCGGTATTTGGCGGATGTTGAATTATGATTAGCTTGTGATTAGTCCACACGTTCGGCCAACCAGAGCTCCCCTTCATGCTGGACCGGCAAGCAATCTGATCTTCTGGCCGATCGCACGCAGCTCATGCTTCTTGGCCGTAGCAGCGCCTGACTGCGAGCAGTAAAGCAGCTCGGGTATCGATCAAAGTGTACAAGACTGGACGCAATTTGGGTGGATCGGGCTCATAACCCAACTAAAAGAAGATGCGATGTGAACCGAAGTAGATTTACCATCATCATGGTTCGTGCATACACCAGCGGGTGCAACAACATTGAAGTACACGTGGGGATGGCATAATCGTACGTGAATTGCAGGCTCGTACCCATATGGCAACGGAATGAATCTGAAACAAACAGAACAAACGGGAAGGAAACACACAAACAGCGCAAAACAAAGGGGAGCAGGGACAAGAGCGAATTCACTTTGTATATTCTTACAGTATGTACCCAGGGCGGTGGGCCTAACACATTTCAACCAATCCTCTTTAGGCCCCCACGTTCCGCATAGACATTTCTTAGTAGGTTAACTGACAGTGATTTGTCCTGCAACGACGACCATAAAACTCACAACTTAATCCACAAGGAGCTTTCCCTGTTGGGAATTCGGGGGCATGGCCAAGAGCATTTGCGGACATGAAAAATTCTGGGATTTTGTGCTCGTGATCCGTGAAGGTAACCCAAAATGTTGATGCGGGTAAACTTGCCTACCTAACAACGAGCTACCGCTTGATTACGGCGGTGAGATTTTAGTATTGCAATTATTCACTGGTGAGGATTTCGGTCCCCAAGTTTTAGCCATACCAAGAAAGGTACGGGATAGTGGTCATATAAGTCATACTGTAAATAATCGCACCAAGGGAATGTGTGGAGGTAATTCATCCTCACTCTGTGGCAGTAAAGTAGAAGAAACAACGCGGTTCATGTGAGCTCCAAGTTTAATACCAGGTCTAAAACACCTGTACGTATGTAAGGTGTATACAGCGACGCCTTCCGAACGCGTTATTGGCAACCGGTATTTGGCGGATGTTGAATTATGATTAGCTTGTGATTAGTCCACACGTTCGGCCAACCAGAGCTCCCCTTCATGCTGGACCGGCAAGCAATCTGATCTTCTGGCCGATCGCACGCAGCTCATGCTTCTTGGCCGTAGCAGCGCCTGACTGCGAGCAGTAAAGCAGCTCGGGGGGATTCCAACTGACACTTCTTCCTTGGGGCTTCAAGTCGTGGGTTCGCTCTCAGTGGACTCGCTGGCTTGCGGATGCCGTCTGCCCAGCGTGGTGGTCGTAATGCATGCCCGGGCTTGGTTTCCGACGGAGGAGCTGATAGATTTTCCGCAGTAGCGCCGAGATAAAGCCTCCAGAAGTATCTTTAGACTCACGTCACTAGGTTGGTGAGACGAGATCCACGCATTCACCGGCCGAATGTGGTTTGTGTGTCCGATCCGCTTGGCTGGGCCAACTTGAACCTCATAAAGCACTTTACTGTGCTGGCAAAGGATATGCTACTTAGCGTGTCTGCGGCTGCAGTCGCGAATCAACACTCTCCGGCCTTTGCTGAAACAGCGTGTGGTCGCACCGTGATGTCGTGAACCGTTCCTCCATCCACGTATTGCGGTGAATCAGCCGCCTGTTCTGTGGCAGGATATTTATATCGTTCAGTTCTGACATCCTTTCGGTGTCTATCTACCGTACTACCTGAAGGAAGCACGAGTGCTGAGATAATGCTAGGTTGCCTAGGCCTAGACAAGAACAGTCGAAAGGCAGAGCTTGGTTTTGGACCACAGACTTTCCGGCCTGTAGATTCGTGACTTAAACATGAGCTATTTCGAGCTGCGATGTGTCATGCGGTATCCGAACATCCATCGGAGCAGTTCCCCTGCTGGTAGCACTCCATCATCTGAAATCGCGTCGCCCTGCATGCCAACAGGAAGCTTTGCAAATTCTCTTCTATCAGCTCCTCCTCTTTGGATTTCTGAGGCGTATGCTTCAAGGTAATAAGGAAGAGCTCCACACGGATGTTCATTTGTGCATTAAATGACAGCAAGAGGATATGAAATACACCATACTCCTGACAAAACTCTGGGAGTGCCGATGACGTGAAGTGACAAAAGCCTCCGGAGCTCCGAAATGACTAAACAATCGTCAGGGTTCTAGGATTGCATATGCAGTTGTGGGTTTGCTCAGCAGTTTCCGGTCACTTACTATAAGCGTCAACTACGACCACAAAGTGTTGACCACCAACTGGACCTGCATAGTCGGTCGATAGACAATACCAGGGTTCCGTCAGCTGCGGCCACGACCTAAGTGGATTTTCACGAGTGACTTTGATGCTTCACCATACTACAGACAATATTTGGAAGCCCACGCAACCTGGGAGTCAATCACAGGTCAGTAGAAGTAACTCCGAGCAAGAGCCTTCATTCTGTATATTTCCGGGTGCCCTCTATGAAACTAGTTCAGTAGGGCAGTCGATGTTAAGACAATACCAGGGTTCCGTCAGCTGCGGCCACGACCTAAGTGGATTTTCACGAGTGACTTTGATGCTTCACCATACTACAGACAATATTTGGAAGCCCACGCAACCTGGGAGTCAATCACAGGTCAGTAGAAGTAACTCCGAGCAAGAGCCTTCATTCTGTATATTTCCGGGTGCCCTCTATGAAACTAGTTCAGTAGGGCTGGTAGTATTTCCTTTGGAATGACGGCGCGTTTTGAAAATACAAGTTACCCGTTGTTTAGCTCTGGTGCGCAACGCTGGTCAACGCAAGGTCTCGAATCATGTCGTGAGTAGGTTCGCGGTCATTGACTATGGCAGTCCGTCAAGACCTGCTGCAGAATATGGCTTCGGTCGATAGCCTAGTGGACCATATCATCAGTCTCTGGAAGGGTGAGAAATGCCTCCGATAATAACGGTTCACTCCAGGCTCCGGGACAGTTAATGCGATCTGGCCTGTTTGAATCAGTGAGATGCGATAGTGTGTCGGCCTGTCCGAGGCTTGTAGTGGACTGGCAGTTGATTGTGAATTCGTACCCAGAAGCAGAGTGATGCATCGCTGGGGACCGCAGATGATTTTAGGGCACTTTTTGACGATAGGCACGATGGCCAAACACCTTTTAAATATGAATGTAAGTGCGCTCGGTTGGTGTCAGTGACTTGGCCGCATGTGTAACGGCCCCCTGGCTGATGTCGGGGAATACAAGCGAAATCAATGTGCCAATGAAAATTGAAAAAAAATAGAAATCGTTCAGCTATAACACCCTTTCGATGCCTAGCTGCTATGCCACACGAAGGAAGCACGAGGGCTTGGATACTGTCAGGCTGCCCAAGCCTAGACAGGGGAAGTCGAGAGGCGGAGGTCGGTTTCGAACCACGGACCTTCCGGTCAGTAAATTCGCGCTCTAACCACTTGGTCCATCTCGCCCCAATGTGCCAATGTCATAGGTCGAAGCACCTTATGTCACAACGATATCCAGTGACTGGACGTAGCGGACAATAGGTCAATCGGAGCTCAGCTTGGATTGCACAGGATCGAAGGCGCATTGGCATTCCTCTAACCATATGCACTTTTGACCCTTGGCGACCAGCTGGTTCATTGGGCCTCTAGGGCGATGCATGGTCGGTAGCAACGAGCAGCAGTGACTGACGTGACCGAGGAACCACTTGAAAGATGTCCAGTCCGTACATGTTGACTGGTGTTTGATGGTGTCAGTGTTCTCCGGACAAGATTGGGGACCGTGTTCGACAGTGTGTTCGACAACGGTCAGGTCCTAACGAACAATTCTACCCGGTGTTACATTTATTTAGAACCTTAGAGAGAAAGGAGAAAAAAGTCATATATATTACGGACACTGAGGGCTGCAACGTAGATCAGATCTATTGAAGTTAGTAAGTAGTTATTTTGTCTTATTTTTCTGAGCAGTGGTTTAGGTAAGTGTTAGGACGGTCAGGTCCTACCGAACAATTCTACCCTTTGTAATATTTCACTGAGATTTCATTTTCTCTGTTGTAGCCAACTGAGCCGCAGCGGTCTTTCTTCCATTGGTATATCTGCCGATCTTCATCTGGTGTCCTTTAGGGGACGAGATGGCCCAAGTGGTTAGAGCGCGAATTTACTGGCCGGAAGGTCCGCGGTTCGAATCCGACCTCCGCCACTCGGCTTCCCCTGTCTAGGCTTGGGCAACCTGACAGTATCCCAGCCCTCGTGCTTCCTCCGGGTGGCATGGCAGCTAGGCGCCGGAAGGGTGCTACAGCTGAACGCTTTCTTTCGCTTTCTTGGTCTCTTTTCCTCTTCATTGTTTTTTTTCACTCAAGTAACTGGACTAACAACATAACATCAGCATCAGCTAGCGTAGCAGCTAACATAGCATCAGCTAGCATCACCCAAAACAACTCAGTGAATAATCCCATTTAATTTTGCATTAATCTGCGTTGTGCTCGTCAAACCCTGAAACAATACTCTTGAACACGACGAAGCACGTGATGAGGATGTTGATATGGCTGGGTAACCTTGACACCAAACGGCAGTCGAGTTTGGTGACAGGTTGCGTAGGTTGTTGGTGGTAAAAAGTTCTGTGGGACTCCCTCTAGGCTTCAATCTATGGATACGCCTCATTCAAACCAATCTCCGCAAAACATCTGCCCCCAGTCTGTATCGTGAATAAGTCATATGGCAATAATAAAAAGTATCCATTACGGCTTTGAGACCAGTGGAGAAATTTGCACACAAGCGAATGTTTCCACTAGCCTTCTTCACCATTACGATCGGAGCGCCTCATGTCGAGTAGTTGGTCGGTTGGAGAATACCGCCTTCTGTATTCAGTCCAGTTCCAAATCAACATTGGACAAGGCTTTACATGGCAGTGGGCATTTTAGGCTGTAAACTGGCCTGGTATTAAGTGCAGGCACAGTCTGGCTTCAGCTTTGGTGCAGCATCCAATTTCAGCGGAGAATATGCGTGCATGAAGTTGCAGGAGGTTCCCGAGTGAGTGCTCCAAGAAGTGTTTGTTCAAGGGCAACTCAGGATTTTGCACGCGTGAAGTTGCAGACACAACCGATCGCCTTCTCCAGTAGATACAGTTTAGCGGTCCATAAGAACAAGCTTAAGGCATAACGTCAGGTAGCACGTGGCTTGGACTGTTGAGCCATTGAAGTTTATGGACCCATCTCGACTTCCCCTGTCTAGGCTTAAGCAGTATCCCAGCTCTTGTGCTCATCCGGGTGGCATGGCGGTGGGTGAGTAGAATCTCCAATCCCGATTCGCAGCCGGTTGCGTCAACGTGCTTTCGAAAGCACAAGGGGTCATAACCATCACCGGTTTGGCCATAAATTTTGGGTCGGGTGAACTGGAGCCAATCGGAAGCCTGTTTCGCGCCTCTCCTCTAGGACTTCTGCGGCTGCGCCTCTAGTGGGCGATCTTCAGATATACGCTTGATCTTTGGGTAGGCATGTTGAATACTAACAGCCCGCTCCAACGTCTTCTGAACGGTAGTTGGGGAAGAAACGGTGACTAGAAGCCCAAGTGTTCACTTTCTCTGCATGAAGCGATCCGTGTTAAGGCTTTGTGGGGAAACTGCCAAGAGTCTGTTTTAGTGGCGTCATTTTTCTAGAAAACGACCTCTAGATGATCGGCCTGCTCACCCTCATTCGCCTGTCCACTAAAGACGCCGTGGCGGTCTTGATACAAGGG